CGTGTATATCTGGAGTTTTCTTGTAGTTTTATCATGCTAAAACCTTAGACTATTAGATCAAAGAGACATGAACGTGTTCAGGTCAATTTTCTTATTAAAGTTTTAGTTATAACCATGCTCAAGATTATTCATGAGTTTAATTTTATGTCTTATGAGAGAATATGAATAATTAAGATGTAATTTCATGTATAAAAATTATTTTCAAAGGACTAAAACCTCTTTTCTAAGTTATATGAAATTTAAGAAAGTTTTTATTTGTGAACAAATCACTTACACGTCAAAACCTGAGTTTCAGCTTTTTGTCGAGCTTAGAGTAGTCGATTAACTAAGAGAGTAGTCGACTACTCCTTACTTGTTGCATTTCTCAGAATCTGTTTCAATATAGTGTAGTCGACTAATAGTGTTAGTAGTCGACTAGAAATATTTGGTTGAATTTCTTCGGGTTCAGAATGAACTCAGTATAGTCGACTACTCTGGTAAGTAGTCGACTACTAAAGGCTGGTTCCTGAATTTTGTTTGGTATTTGTTTAAGGTGTATTTATGAGGTTTTAGCTGCACTTCTATGCATGTAAATACACAAAGACACAAGTACAATGTCAATACACATACATGAATATCCCAGAAGGGGATTTTGACAAGAGTTGAGTTGTTTATGTTGGGATTAGACATTCTTACATATGAGATCGATATTCCATATGTGCAGGCAATTGAGTTAGCTTTGGATGCCAAGTATAACAGTCTATCCGCACGTGTGACGCCCCTGTTTTCACATATGGCTGCAGTCCAAGGTGAACCCAGAGATGTCAAACCTGCCATGCACCCACACTGTGCAATAACATGTTTCACCAATCACAGTAATATTCTCTAGTGAAATCAATTATGAGTGAAAGTACAAAACAGGCAAAATAAGAAAAGTAAATACAATAGACATGATGTAGAAAGATATATCTCATAAATGATATCATGTCTGAACTGAAATAAACTGAAATACATCTGGAGTCTGAAATAATGTAAAATGTCTCAACATGAGTCAACTGAAAATCGTACAAAGGCACCTAGCCTTTACAAATGGAATACAACTCTAATGTCTGAATAGTGAAAATAAATCTACGGTGGAGTCTCAACTAATAAATCATGCGACGACGACTATGCCAGAAACTCCGTCATCCTGCGGCTCTCCGGAACTCTGAGCTACCTGAAAGGAAAATTTAAAAGAAAAAGAACAACAACAAGAGCGTCAGAGCACTACACCAAGTTCACCTCCATCCGCCCCCAGGGGAAGGGCTGCTAGATGATAAAGTGGAGGCTCTATCTATTAAGCATAGTCTACCTAGATCAATTTTTCTTGTATCTAATGGAATTAATATTTAGAAACTTACAACTTGAGACGTAGTACGTCGAGCGAAATAATCCAAACAAGGAAACCCTCATGTATATACCGTATGTCTCAGGTAGTAAATAACTAAATATTAACCCTGAACTAAGCAATCAAAATAAAAGCATCATAATAGACATCAGCATATGTATCTCGTGTACTCGTATAGCAAAGTATCTCAACAATGAGTAGAAACACTTTTGGCATCCGCCAAATACTCAGGTAAATAGTTTATAATATTATCATTCTGAACTTTTTCCAACTCATCGCATCATCGCGCGGATCGACAAATAGGTATCATCGCATCATAGTGCGGATCGACAAATAAGTATCATCGCATCATAGTGCGGATCGACAAATAAGTATCATCGCATCACCGTGCGGATCGACAAATATATATCATCACATCATAGTGCGGATCGACAAATTTGTGTCATCGCATCATAGTGTGGATCGACAAATAGGTATCATCGCATCACCGTGCGGATCGACAAATAGGTATCATCGCAGTCTCATTTGCGGTGTACTAACTCACAAGTAAATAGATCTCAATTCGTCATAATCCCCGTGGGATACTCAAATGCGTATTTCGTCATATTCATGACTGTAAGTATAACATCGAGCGGCTCAAACTCCGTGATCGCGTTACAAACGGCGCAAACAAACTCTAGAAAATAAAACTGGGCCAAACTGTCCAGTAAATGGTCAGGGTTACCAACCCCGACTATCTGCTGTAATAACAAATTGTGAATAGTAGCAGTACTTACTAATAGCAACAGTACTTTACGACTAGTATCCGTACTTATGAATAGTAATAGTACGTATGAATAGTAATAGTACTCATGAATAGTATCGTACGTATGAACAATATGGTATTTATGAATAGTGCCACTGTACGTATGAATAGTAATAGTGCTCATGAATAGTACCATATGTATGAATAGTAATGGTATTTATGCATAGCACCACAGTACATATGAATAGTAATAGTACTCATGAATAGTACCGTATGTATGAATAGTAATGGTATTTATGCATAGTACTACAGTACGTATGAATAGTAATAGTACTCATGAATAGTACCATACGTATAAATAGTAATAGCATTTCCAGCGGTAGACATGTACGTATAGTTCTAACTAGCAATATCATGTCTTTAGGAATTTGGTCTTATATTCTATTCATCAATTTTTATCAATATCAAGTCTTTTCTTCAATCTCATGTATATTCATCAATTTTTATTAATATCATATCTTTTCATCAATATCATGTCTTTTCATCAATATCATGTACATTCATCAAGATCAAAATTTACTAGGGATGAGTTTGGAAAGAGATGAACTTGTCTTTATTGATCTCTGAAATTTGACTCCCTATCCGTTCCTTTTCTCCGAATAGCCAAAGTCTCATCTATCTTTTTTTCTCTTTTCTTCCTCTCTGTCTTTTTTTTCTCTCTCCTTCTTTCTCTCTCCCTCTCTCTTTCTCTTTCTCTCTCCCTCTCCCTCTCTTTCTCTTTCTCTCTCTTTTTTCTCTTCTCTGCGTGCTCAGAAGAGAGAGGGGGGAGAGGCTTTTATAGGAAGGGGTAGGTGGAGAGAAGAAAAGAAAAGGAAAATAATAATAATAATAATATTTATAATTTTATATTATTTAAAAATTGAGCTTCAAATCTCCATTCTCAAAAAGTAATAAAAATTTACCCACAAGACCGTCTCAACATTCTATGATCAATGGTATAATCCTCATATTTATCTGATCAATATAAAAATTATTAAAAATATAAATACGACAGATGCTAACTGACTTGATACCGTCTCAAAATAGTATTTCAGTGTCCGTTGTCAAAACACAACGAAACTTTAATCACAGCACAGTATTGACATTATAAAATCAATAGTGCAAATTTCGTGCTCATTTGATTAATAGAAAAATTACTAAAAATAAAATAGTATCAGTTTTCAATGGACTCGCGATACCGAGGCTGAAACTGAAAATCGATCTCAAATCGATTCCAATCCAATCCATTCATCCCAGAATGATCACAAATCATAATAAAACTCATTTATTATCATTTATAATAATATTTTCAAAAAAATTTGGGGTTTTATCATAATAAATCACAATTCCGGTTGGTTTTGCTCTGATACCATTTGTAACGCCCCGCCCGGGAATCCCGGAGTCGGTACGCTATTAGATCTGATGGACTAACCTCACAAACCACCACATGTCTTTTCAGCACGTTTTTTTCCTCACTCACGCGCTCCCTGAAAAACTTCCCAGGGGGTCACCCATCCTAGAATTTCTCTAGGCTAAAGCACGCTTAACTTTGGAGTTTCTAAGAGCTGGGTTCCCGAAAAGAAGATGCATCTTGATGGTATGAGTATTCCAATTAAATCTATCAATACTAATCACATCACCCTCTCAAGGGTTGGGGTATTATAAACTCCCCCACTTAAACTCACAACGTCCTCGTTGTGCCAAATGGTATCAGAGCAAAACCAACCGGAATTGTGAGAGCTAAGTGCTCTGCGGCGCAAAGTGCTACGTCGAGAGGGCGGGAGCCACCTCTTGAGGCCGTAGGAGCCACCTCTAGAATCTCACACGGATGGTACGGTCTTGGATGATATGATTTGGCACAACGAGGACGTTGTGAGTTTAAGTGGGGGAGTTTATAATACCCTAACCCTTGAGAGGGTGATGTGATTAGTATTGATAGATTTGATTGGAATACTCATACCATCAAGATGCATCTTCTTTTCGGGAACCCAGCTCTTAGAAACTCCAAAGTTAAGCGTGCTTAGCCTGGAGAAATTCTAGGATGGGTGACCCACTGAGAAGTTTTCCAGGGAGCGCGTGAGTGAGGACAAAAACGTGCTGAAAAGACATGTGGTGGTTTGTAAGGTTAGTCCATCAGATCTAATAGCGTACCGACTCCGGGATTCCTGGGCGAGGCGTTACAGCACGAGTGTTCGATGAGGCTGGTAAGCCGTCTATTTATGGTGATTATGAGCAATCTATTTGGATACCTATATGGCAGGCCGTCCCGCACTCAGGCTACATGCTGAGATCGCGATGAGACTAATGAGCCATGTACATAGTTCAGGATACCTACATGGTAGTCCGTGATATTGATATTATTGATTTATAGCATAAGTTTTAGGCGGATGTCGGTTGTGAGTTCAACTCATCTTTGAGATATATGACTGAGATACTTTACTTTTGAAAGTATATGGGATTATATGTTGGTATTTATTTTACCTTCCCAGTGATAGTAGAAGATACTATAAATACGGTATGCTGAAGTTTTTAATTCCTTTAGGCTGCGTTTGGGAACTTGGATTTGGGCCCTGGATTTAAAATCCTGGGTATTTCAAATCCAAATCTCTTGTTTGGGCCTCAAATTAGACTGAGATTTTAAATCAAATGATTTTAAAGAGGTGATTTTAAAAGCCCAAATACACGTATTTGAAATCCCACCCTCACCCTTCGTATTTACCAAATCCAAATCCGGACCCGACGACTCCCCCGATCCCGACTCCTCCTCCCTCTCGTTTCTCAGCGGCGATCCCTCTCGTTTCTCAGCGGCGATCTCGAATCTCCAGGTATCTCTCCTCTCTCCTCTCTCCCCCTCTCCTCTCTCCCCTTCTCCTCTCTCGTCTCAACGCAGGGATCTCTCTTTGTATTTTGAAACCCTAGATCTGATCTGAGTTTGCTTTTCTCTGTTGTAGCTTTTTTTTCAATTTCTGCAGTTTCTGATCTGGGTACTCTTTATATCTCGATCTCTTCCGTTAAAATTGTCTGTTCTCTATGCTAATGGGTGCCTGCCTTATGTTCGATTTTATGCCGTATGAATTTTTTTTTTGATAAACCAAGTTACGTACTGGTTGATGATTGAGTGACTGTTGCCTTTTGTTGTTTGGTACTGTAATTTGGGAGAATATGTGTACACATGCACTCCCATATAAATAATTCTATTTGCCTGAATATAGAACTCAAAACCCATACTTGAAGGGAAAAGAAATCGGATCCAGATAGAATATGGATATTTACATGAAGATAGGAAGTTAATTTATTCTTTTGTAAGTATAAAAGATTTGAGTCATGAAGATTTGGATTCAACAGATGAGTTCTAGTTGTAAGTATCAACAGTTCTTTATTCTTTTGTATGCTTTAGATATTGTTTTTCGGAAATTCATCCAGTTGTATTCTAAGAGATAGAATGAGACATGGTCGTGGTTAATACTATGTACTAAACCAAATGTTGAGATCAGTTTGCTGGCTTCCTGTGTAGTTCTTCTATTTTCTTTGATAGAATGAACAGTCGAGAAGTTAATTTCCCCATGTTGTATCTAAGTTGAGGAATTATATTTTTGGTGAGCTCACATGTTAATTTGTTAGCTTAATGCATTTCTACCCCAGACGAGACTACTATTCAAGACTTTGCTGCTATTTTTGTTATTGTGTTGCTGCATAAACTGGTTGAATTAGCTTATTTAGGCATCCCTCGAATAATCGAAACTGATGTTAGATTATTGGATTTTAGTACTTCAATTCAACATGATGTATTTTATTTTGTGTATCACGAAAGACTAATGTGAGACAGAACAGGCACTTGATATTTCATATGAATGCACATAAGTTTTATCAATTATATTACTGTATTGGATTACTTGAAGCAACTCAATTCTAGTTCCTCATCATAGCCACTATTATTCAACCTCAGATGTAGCGCAGGAATCTCAAAAGAATGAGATTTAGTTTGAAAATATCAGGGTTTTCCGCTACAAATTGTACATGGAACAGAGAAAAAGCATCACTTACCAAAGCCAGTTACACCACTTCCAGCTAATACCAACGACCTAATACTGGATACATCTTTTCCAGCTAATACCAACTTACCAAAGCCAGTTCTACATGGAACAGAGAAAAAGCATCACTTACCAAAGCCAGTTACACCACTTCCAGCTAATACCAACGACCTAATACTGGATACATCTTTTCCAGCTAATACCAACTTACCAAAGCCAGTTCAGTGCTAGCAAGAAGTAATTTGCCTTTGCTATGTTCCCAACAAAGTTGTACAGAGCTTTGCACAGAGTGCAGACCTCGCACAAAATATACCACTTAGCAAACGCAACCATCATGAAGACAAGGTTCAGCAAATGTTAGTTAAAACTGCTAACGTTGGTCATAAATTGAACTAGATATTTAAAAATTACTAAGCTCATTTGTGAAAAAATGAGAACCGCAGGTTAGTAGACAGGCACGCACGAGCGCGCACACTAGCAGAAAAGCAATAGCAATTGAAGCATCTACATCAGTCAAAGTAATTCATTTCTAATATTAGCAAGCAAATTATAATACGCCACCCAAATTGGATGACGCATCAGGAAAGTAACATACCTTTGCTTATATCAGGTGTATCTGGTGTCTGCACCGGGTAAAACTTATAAAATCGCATGTTCTCAAATGCTGCCTTTGTTGCAGGATCCATGTCTTCTATAGCTTTTCCTCTGCTGCTAATAAAGCTAGAGTAATGTTGTGAATATTACTGTTTAGACCATTTGCATCTGTCTGTGATTATTTCATTAGCAACATTTGGATTGCCTTTATCCATTGCTCTAGCTTTATCACAACATTAGCTTGTGACCTTGTCCATGGATAATGACATGCAAATTTTATGTGTCACTTTAGAGTTTGCTAGTGTTTCTTTCTGATGACAGCTACTTATTTCTTTTTATTATTTCATGCATTCTAATGATGGTCTTAATAATCCTAATAATTACCCTTGTACCTATTTTGAGTAGCATTTTAAATTTGCATCTTGCTAAATATATATTCAGGATATATGCGTAATCTGCTTGCATGTTCAACTTTTAATGTGATAGGTTAAAAATGGTAAATGATGAAAGGGATTCAAGGATCCAACTTAAACGTACAAGGGAAGAATTTGAGAGGAGAGAGGATGATGACATTATTATGGTAGTGGTCAGTTTTATAGTTGCTGCCATTGGTGCTTGGTACTATACAAAGCACATGTTGAAGGAGAGTTCAAGAACACACGAAGAAGAGGATGAAAGGACATACCTTAGAAAGTCTTGGATTCGAAATCTTATTTGCAATGCAAATAACTGTGTTGAACAACTAAGGATGAATCCTCAAGCGTTTAAGAGGTTATGTGATGTTCTATGTACTAGAGGGGGATTAGTAGCATCAAGAAATGTCACGATTGAAGAAATTGTCGCTATGTTTTTGCATATTTTAGCTCATAATGTAAAAAATAGGACAAGCAAGATAGATTTTTATTGTTCAAATGAAACAATTAGTCGGCAGTTCCACAAAGTACTTCAAGCAGTCATGAAGATAGGAAGCCTCTATATTAAACAAGAATATACAAATCCTAATGAGAGAGACATAGAGAAGTGGAAATGGTTTGAGGTAACTATGACTTCTTTTATTAAGGTTTTCATGTTTAGTACTTTTGTTTAATAGAACTAATTGTAAGGTTGTGCAATTTTAGGATGCTATCGGGGCACTTGATGGGACTCATATCCAATTAACTATTCCTTTGGAAGATCAAAGTAGATATCGAAATAGAAAAGGAGAGAACAGTACAAATGTACTTGGTGTTTGTGATGCCAATTTGAGATTTTCATATGTGCTACCTGGTTGGGAGGGTTCAACATCAGATTCTCGTGTTTTGCGTGATGCTTTGCGTCGGCCCAATGGCTTAAAACTTCCCTCAAGTAGGAATATAATTCTTTTAATTATTATATATGTATTGCTTCCTAGTTTTTACATTGTTGTGACTGAAGATTTTGATTTTGTAGATAAATACTTTCTTGTGGATGCTGGGTATACAAATGGGCCGGGGTTTTTGGCACCTTATCGAGGGACTCGCTATCATATAAAGTCTTGGAGAGAAAATGGTCCAAGAAACTACAAGGAGTTATTTAACCAACGTCATTCCTCTGCTAGAAACACAATTGAGAGAGCATTCGGATTGCTAAAAAAGCGATGGGCTATATTACGGACAGCTAGCTTTTATAGTGTTAAGACTCAAATTAGGATCATTAATGCATGTTGTATTCTTCACAACTTTTTACGTGAAGAGATGAATGAAGATGACTTGTTAAATGATGTGGATCGAGAATTAGAAGATTCTCCTGTTTTAGAAATTGAGAATGTAGATGATGAGCGTATCACCACTGTGAGAGTTACAGATGAATGGAGCAACTTTAGAGATAATTTAGCTATGCAAATGTGGGATGAATACCGACTTTAAGATAATTTAGCTACAAGATGGAAATGAGGGTGACGAGTATGAAGAAGATGATGAGTGGTTGTGAGATTTTTATATATGCAGTGTAGTTTCTATCATTTGTTAAGTTCAGCATTAGACAACAGGATCTAGTTCTCGCATGTTAGCTTTTGTACTTCAGAATTATGTATTAACTTTTTGATACATAACACATTGATGGTAATTAGTCTTCTTTGTCATCTCCTCTGCATGACCTCGCCGTCATGTCATTTGTTAAGTTCAGCATTAGACAACAGGATCTAGTTCTCGCATGACCATGTGATGATAAAGTTGTCAACTCAATTCTGAGTATAAACAGACTCAATTCTAGATAACCCTTTTAGACACGGAGATGGATTCAGGTGAATATATACTTAGTAATCTGAGTGTTAACTTAGATTATATATGTCAGAATCAAGATTTTAGAAGTAAATGCTTAAACAAATAAGTATGTCTATGTGTCTAGCTACTGTAGAAATGATATTTCATTTCATTTCATTGATTATTTTAGATTGCACTTTAGCATGTGGGTTTCCGTATGAAGTACGGACGTGTGTTTGTGTTGCTAAGGATTTGGTTTCTTTCTGGTAACAAATTATCTCTTGTAGAGGAGTTTGGGTCCCAACTTGCAGGTGCAATTTGTGCAATGTCTGGTTGTAAATAGTTGCAAAAGAGAGACTATCTGCAGGTATATAAATAGTTGCAATGTCCAGAATCGTTTCCTTGAACAACCAGAATCGTTTGATTGCTTCAACTATCTTATGTTGCTTCATAAGGTGACCTCTCATTAATCAATTGTTTGTGAGATGATTGCTTCTCTTCACCTTTACAGGAGTATTTACTGTTGTTCCAAAAGCTTGCAAGCAAGTTATTGACTATATGGGTTAATTGCATTCATTACTAATCAACCTTTGTGCTTCAATACTAATTCTGTGTCATTCACTTTGGTATGTATTAGGATGACAAAGAAAGGGAAACAAATTGCATCTCATTCAAGATCATATGTTGTGTGGAATCGTGATATGGACGCAGCTTTAGCCAATGTGTTGTACGATCAAATGAACCAAGGATTAAAAGTCGATGGTAATATTGCACGATCAAATGAACAAAGATAACGTGAAAAATCGACTCAAAATTTGGAAAACCCATTATAATGTTATCTATGACATTAAAAATAAAAGTGGTTTGACGTGGTGGGATGATGAGAAGAAAATGGTGATTATACCCGCTAGTGAGCAAAAAGTATGGAACGACTATGTTACGGTAATATTACACTTTATATTTATTAATTTGAATTATTAGTTTGTTGCATATATCTAAAAAATATTTGTGAATGTTCTTATATTGCAGGCTAATCCAGATGCAAAAGGCTACCAGAATCGTTTGATTAAAAATTAGGATGATATTATGGTGTTATGTGCAAAAGATAGAGCCAACGGTGAAGGTGCAGAAACTTTTGAAGAGGCTGCTAACACAATGCAACATGATGAATCTGTGGCACAATCTGAAACAAACGAAGATGGAAGCTCTTCAAGGAAACATCTTCCTGGAACATCAACTAGTGGTGAGACAAGTTCAAAGAAACAAAAGAAGGGGGATAAATTGGTTGATTCACTTGCAGTGATGGCAGCTTCTGTGACTGAGTATTTTAATGAGAGAAAGAAGGAAGTAGTAAGAAAACCACCAACCGGTGAGGAGATTCATCACGTGGTCTCAAAAATACCCAACTTAAGTCGCATTCAAGTGTTCAAGGCATTTGAGAAACTAATGGATAGCAACCCGGAAAAATTTTATTTGTTGAAGTCACTTCCTGATGATGAAAAAAGAGATTTCATTCTCTTTATTCTTAAGGAGTAGCTTCTAGTTGGATGGCAAGAACAACCAAATCTTTGAACCCATTCGAGTAAGTTCTCTCTTGGATTTCTTTTTCTTTTTTAGGCATATTTAGTATTTATGGGTTCTCATTAATTATTTGTGGGATGTTTGCATTCATTTTCTGAATGTCCACTTCTTATAAATGCAATGAAGGTGATGGGTTTATTGAATTTGAAAATTTGAGTGTCTGTTATTTTATTAATTAATAATTCTTTTGTAATGATATAAGTTGAATGTCAGCATCCATGCGTCTGGTTATTTTGTTTTGGAATTTTGTATCACATGTTTCTTGCTTCTCTGTAGTCCCCTTCGCTCTTCTACCTACCTATCTGTGCTTTTCTTCAATTGCCAGCAGTCTCAGAGTGTTGATAAATTTTATTTACTCACTTTTAGCTAGTAACTGAACAATGGTTTTTGTTTGCAGGGTCTCTTGGCAGAAAAGGAGGAATCAAGGAGCAAAGATGATAAAGAGTCTACGCAGAAAAGATGCTCTCCTCTTATGCGTTTCCCCTTATTTCCTGCTTTTTTACTTAGCTTTTTAGACTTCTTTTCGTGGAAAACTAGCTTATTATGAACTCTGTTGTAAATGGAAGTTTGATAATCAAAGACCCTGTAGAGTTTGATAAATTTTATTTACTCACATGTTTCCTGCTTTTTTTACTTAGCTTATTATGGAAATTACCAAATTATGAAACCTGTCACCTTTTTTAAACAAGATATTACTTGTTTGTACTTGCTATATTCATTTTCTGTCGTAATTTGGCTTGTTGTAGCAAATCATGGTTATTTCTTATAGCAAATCATGGTTATCAACTACCTATGGTATGTTGTGTTTTAAATGAAGGATTATTGTGGAGTGTAGAGCTTCTTATGAGGAGTGTTTGCTAAACTCTTTTGACTCGTCGAGTCTTTTATCATGGCTAGTTATTGGAGTAGTACTCTTGTTCTTTGGAGATTGAAGGTTGATGTAATATTGGATGAAGCCATGAAAAAATGGCGTAATAATAAATATTTTGGACATTATTATTATTTTTTGTATTCTCTCATATACCGATTCATGAAGGACAAGATGTTTGCATCTGTATTTATAATTGCTAATAAAGAGATCAAACTTCTGAGGGGGTCGTGAAATTTACCCTAACTTTTTCCTTAATATAAACCATAATGTCCGCATTTGATTTAATTATTAAGGAGTTAAGAGAGAGCATAAAATTTTTTAAAACACCAATTTCAAATCCAAATTCATGTATAATAAAGTGCATCCAAACATCAGATTTTAAATCTGTGATTTCAAATCCTTGCATTTAGTGATGACATCCAAACAAAAGATTTTATCAAATCATGGATTTCAAATTCTAGATTTGAAATCCCATGATTTTAAATCAACCTTTCAAATCCAAATCCAAGTTCCCAAACGCAGCCTTATTGTTTTTCTTTATTTGTTAGTTGGAATCAATGATTAAGGATTCCCAATTTGAGACATATGTTAGATCCTAGAGGGGGATGATTAGGGTCTTATGCTAATCTAATCCGATTATATATCAATTAAAACTAATTAATAAGTTATCCTAGCAAGTATGAAATACAACAAGATATATGAGCTAGGATAAGCAATATGAAAAATGAGATATATCCTAGCAACGAGATATACTATGGGATATATGCAAAGATATACAAATTAATACAATGGTGAAATAAACATGAACAAGATAGTGGGCAAAGTAAATAATGAGACAATGGCGATATGAGCAATAAGCACAAATAAGAATAAACGCTAAAGCACACTCAAACACAATCAAATGATCACGGAGTTCGGACCTTCTGTCCTACATCTCCGTTCCCCACTCCTGGGGAGAAATCCACTATCACAATTCGGTTTGGAAGCCGAAACTTCTACACACTCAGTTTTCTAGCTAACCGAAAACTCTACAACTCACACTCTTGCAAACCCACTCTACACCCTCACAAGTATTGGACCTAGCCATGTCTCCCTCAAGTGCTCGGTTACAACCTCTCCCTAGGTTCGTCAACCGACGCCACTCCTCTTGGGACGATCCCCGACTCTCACCACACACTCCTCTCGGTGTACAAGTGTATTACAAAGTGATCTCACGATTA